TTAAATAACAATGTTAAATCTCAGTAGTTATTAGGTAAAATTAGCTAAATTATTTGAAATCTCCCTATCATGATAAAAATACAATTTAAAATACCTCTGTTACTTTTTTTGGCAAGGGAACACAGTTATTATAATCACCACCTTTTAATGATGGTATTTATTAGTCTGTGTAGAACAGCATCACAAAACCCCTCTTTAACAGGCTTATGATATAAGGATATAAAGGGGGAATCATTTTCATTGCTCCCTAGGTCACTACTAAGAGTTAAGATTTGCTTCACAAACAAGTGCACACATCAGTGAACAGACAAAGGCTTACTAGGTATGTTTTGAAAATCTTTTCAAAATCACATGGAAGTGTAAACTGTGGCTTTCCTCGTTTTTCCTACTCACCTGAACACTATAGTAAAGGGTTTACCACATATATTTGAATATACATACATATTGTGTGTATCTGTTCCAAATATTGTTTTATTTAAGGGAAAAAAATATTCTCCAAAGCATGGGTTCCAAGGGGTATAATTAAATTTTAAATTTTAAAGACAACTTTGGGCTGATTTTAATATTTCAGGACACAAAAAGTGAGTGAGGTGGTAGTGGCTGGGCGATACCCATTTGGCTGTTCAAAGAGCTGTTCCTGGGTTCTGGGACCCTCAAGAACAGCAGCAGCTGTGCTTGTACATGATCCTGAGCCTATTCCAAGAAGTGCCTGGCTGGAAGCTGGAAATTCCGGTTCCCAAATACCTGTGCCAAACTCAGGAGAAGCTCTGCAAGACCCTGCAACACTTCTCTTAGGGTTTGCCATAGATGCTGTGGGTGCAATTTCCCCATAAACAAAGGATAATGAAACTGAGTTAGGAGGATTTGATCATTTCATAATTCTGAAGCCTATTAGAACTCTACAGTCATTCCAGAAACTTCAGAAAACATGGGTTTTCCAACTTTTATTCTCCCAGGATTTGGAAAATTATCTTTTTCAGCCAAGATTTTTTTTTTTCTGAGACTGAAATGTCTCTGCTGAAAACCTAATAAACAAGTGGGAGCTGTAACAGAAGAATGGTTTAATTCTCCATTGATGGACATAATTTTGGAAGTAAACAGTGACTACATCAGACATCTAAAGCTATACTTTAGTCACAGGCAGAGTTAGAAGCAGACTTCTTGTCCCTGCCACAAAAAAATGCCCACAATCCATCTCTGCCACAATGCTGAGTCTATCCTTAGACAGTTCTTTCTCTCCTCTCCAGAATATGAACTAAGAGTCCTAGTAAAGTAACAACCTGATTACTTTTAAATATCTGATTCAAGCCCCTTACAGGTACCACAATGCTATTTACCTGTTAGGATTTACAATTTAATGTTAACTTTAAACATAAATATATTATTGGTCATTTTTTGCCTCTATTTTTGTCTATAGCTGGCGCTGAGTAGCTCAACTTTAATTATCTTGGATTAAAACAGATTAAGAGATGAATATGTCGGCCAAATGAGGTTAGGGGTGGTAGTGCAAAGGAATGCTGCACAGAACTTTGGCTGCAGAAGTGGGAGGTTCCTTGTACAACTGCATGGCACAAGGTGGTCTAAGAGCACCAGAACTGGCCAGCACTGTACGACTAAAGTCTCCCAGAGGTATTGGCAAAATAATAGCACATTATGCTAATATGTTAATGTAGATAGTTTGGGGTTATCAATTTGATTGTTTAAATTCTATATACCTGCTGTTAGATGACAGAATTAAATCTGTGAGCATATTCACATTTATCTAGACTTCATCTTTTAAAGACAAAGTATTATTCCTATTGCAAAGTTTAGAAAACTATGCCCTTTATCATGCATAGCTGGTGTGTGTGTGTGTGTGTGTGTGTGTGTGTGTGTGTCAGCAGAAAACACTGAAAAATTAATCTAATTTACAGGATCTAGGCTCTTTTTGTATCTACTCATATCCCCAAACCACAATAACCATGGTGATAAATTTTAAGTAACCAGAAAAACACTTTAATGTATTAGTTTCGTATCTCTATACCCCAAATTACCAGATTACTCATTTTTTTTTCTCATCTGGTCTCATTGAACAATTTCCTAGTGCAAATGTATATTTTTAAACGTGTTTACTTTCTATATGTCCTAGGGACTGCAGAGAAGTCATATATTCATTCTTTGTGCTTTGTCACTTGGGTAGCAGAACTTGGATTTGAATGCAGGGTATCTGTATCGTGTGTGTGTGTGTGTGTGTGTGTGTGTAGGCAACTTTTGTATTAGTCTTCAAGCACTGTCCATCTTGTTTATTACTGGGGAGGGGCTGTTAGTTTGTTTTGAGACAGGGTCTTTCACTGGCTTGGAGCTTGCCAAGTGGGCTAGGCTAGCTAGCCAGTGAACCCAAGGGATTTGCCTGTGCTTGGATTATTAGCATGTGCCTCTACACCTGCCTATTTTATTTTCCCATGGGCTCTGGGTACCAAACTCGGGACTTATGCTTGGGCAACAAGTGCTTTGCTGACTGTTCTATCTTCCCAGT